AAAAAAAAAAAAAAAAAAAAAAAAAACACATCATAGTAAAATTAATACCTTCGCATCGAAGCTAAAAGTATTTTACAGTTCTTGATGTCAAATGTGGATTTTAGCACATGGTTCTAAATAATGAGTCAAATTTTTTAACTTCAGTAGACCTAATGGCACATATAGGTTTAAAATAGTACCATTTTGAATTTCTTCTACTTCATAATTATTTCAAAAATTAATGTACACATATTTTGGTTAAATTAGAGGTGCTATGTTGTATTTTATGATATTCTAATATGTGCAAAAACGAAAGAAGAACATGATGAAATATTAGAGAAGGTTATAGGAAAAGCAAAGTTATTAAACATTAAATTTAATGCAGATAAATTACAATTATGTGTTAAAGAAGTAAAATATGTTGGTTTCATGTATAATGAAGATGGAATAAAACCTGATAAACAAAGAATAGAATCAATAATCAACTTAAAAAATCCAACAAATAGAAAAGATCTACAGATAGTGTTAGCGATAACTAATTACTTTCAAAATTTGGAATTTTATTCCAAATTTAGCAGAGATTTCTAGTTTATTCAGAGAATTATTAAAAAAAAATGTGGTTTGGAATTGGAATGAGAAACATAACATGTCATTCAATAATATTAAACAACTTATAGCTGAGTGCAAAAAACCTGCACAATGTGGACGTAGCATAGTTGGGTCCAGTATAGATGATATCTGACAGTGATTAAAATCACTATTATAAAAAAAGCTTCGTAGCAAATTCGTAGATAGTGTTTAAATTAAAAAAAATGATGGATTATACCAAAAGCAAATTAATTCCTTTTTCCTTTATTATTCCTGATGAATAGTTTTTTTATTTAGAAATATAATATATGAATAAATATTTCTTATAGCAATTAAAAATCTGTGAATAGTGTTTAATTTTTAGAAGGAATTGTTGAATTATTCCAAAAACCATCAACTTCTATTTCCTTAATTACAACCTGATTTCTAAGTTCTTTGATTTCTAAGTATAATATATGAATAAATACTAATTATAATAATTATATTTAGTATGAAATTAATAATCAATAATTTAGTATTGTAATTTTTACAAAGAAATTATAATGTATTTGTATTTTGTTAGGGGCTTGTTTAATAGTTGAGGATCTTGGTCAAAACCAAGAATCGGAAGCTACCCGACGTCTGCCCAAATATCGTCCCTATCTCCTTAAATGAGTTTTAATTGCCTGAAGGAGATACAGGCAATCGTGTACCTTAGTTACAGAGGATAGATTATTAAATAAAATTAGATTATTGTTTTATGTCAACGACAAAGTAAAGTTATATTTTAGATGTTTAGTAAATATAAGTTATATGTAATGGTACAATACGTCTGACCTGAATCCTAGTACAGTTGGTTAGTAGGGATATCCAAGTGAGACGGAGTTGGTTGGCTATGATGACAATTGGCGATAGACGGGTCGTTGAATAAAACAAGTTAAGTTATAAATAATATAAATAAGATGAAAGTAATAATATTGAAAACTATGTCTATAACGGCCACTCAAACACAACTGCCCTTTGTTAGTTCGACGTCAGTAGCTCCGGACTACAGACGAGTAGAATTGTCACATCAGCATCTCCCTCTATGCTAATTAATATATATTACGAATTAAATAAATAGAAATAAAACGCGTGTAATATAAGTGGTAAGAACATAGTAATAAATGTTCTTACAATTTGTATATTTTGTTAAATGTATGGTAAACGTTTACAAAAATTTTTGTTTTTTAGCTTTGATGCGAAGCTGAGAAGGTATTAATTTTACTATGATGTGTTTTTTTTTTGTGTCTGTTACCACTTTTTCTCAGCTCTCATCGATCCGATTTCTTTCAATGATACGTCAAAAGATCACAAATCGTATCCAGACGAAGACATTACCCTCAAAAATTGAAAAAAATCCCTCGTTCCCCGTAAATGGGGGAAACCTCCAAAAAAATTACAAATTTATAATTCGGTAAATTTTGTCATTTTTTTCACTTTTTTTTCTTAAAACTTCCATAGCTTTTTCAAAAATCAACAAATCAACATACATTTTTTTTATACTAAAACCTTAGATATTTCCCTTTTATTTGATATAATTTTTTTGAAAATTTAACACTTAACCTGCTCATCAAATTTAAGCTTATTTTATGTACTGTAAATTGAAAAAAAAAAATTTGCCTCGTTTCCCGTAAATGGGGGAAACCTACAAAAAAATTACAAATTTAATTTTTAATCGTTAATTTTCGAAATTTTTTCAACTTTTTTAAAAATAACCAAATCAATATAATTTTTTTTTTATAGATGCATGATGTCTTTACCTATCATTTGGTATAGTNTTTTTTCAATTTTTTTTACTTAAAATTGCCATAACTTTTTTAAAAATAACCAAATCAATATAATTTTTTTTTTATAGATGCATAATGTCTTTACCTATCATTTGGTATAGTTTTTTTTATAAATCTGACTTTTTACCTGCCCACAGGGGGGGATTTAAAATAACAACTTTTTTACCAAAAATTAATCTTTTCAACTTAACTTTTGAAAGTGTTCCGAAAAGTCTGACACTTTTATATATATCTTAAATTAAGCTAATGTAATATACTTTATAATGGTAAAAAAAATTTCGGACTTTATTTTATCTTCATGGTGAAAACAGACATCAAAGTTGAGAAGGTATTAATTTTACTAATATGTTTTTTTTTCTGTTGCCACTTTTTCTCAGTTTTCGCTGGATCAATTTGATTCAATTATACATAAAAATATCACAAATCGTTTATACAAAAATTCTGAAATTAAATTCTAAATGTTTTAGCTCACTAAGATGTGTTTATTTTATTATTATTTTTTTTTTTTGTATCTAGTCAAAGACTAATACATTAAAAATTGAAAAAATTTCCCTCGTTCCCCGTAAATGGGAGAAACCTCCAAAAAAATTACAAATTTAAAAATCGCTAATATTCGAAATTTTTTCAATTTTTTTACTAAAAACTGCCGTAACTTTTTCAAAAATGAACATATCAATATAATTCTTTTTTTAATGGTTGCTTGATGTCTTTACCTATCATTTGGAATATAATTTTTGTAAATCTAACACTTAACCTGCCCACAGAGGGGGATTTAAAATGACAACTTTTTCACAAAAAATTAATTTTTTCAACTTTACTTTTGAAAATGTTCCGGAAAGTCAGACACTTTTATATATATCTTAAATTAAGCTAATGTAATATACTTTATCATGAGAAAAAAAAATTACGGACTTTATTTTATCTTCACAGTGAAAATGGCTACCGAATGCTATTATTGTGTGAAAATTCTCGATTTTATTTTTTACATTTTTAACATTATAATGCTATAACTAATTGAAAAGTGTATGTATCAACATAATTTTTTTTTGAGATATAATATTTTTTAATATTCCCTTTTCATTTGACATACTTTATCTTAATAAGGGTATTAATAAGGAACTAGCAGATCATGTAGCTTTTGGAATAATTCATTAATTTTTTAAAATTAAACACTATCTAAAGATTTGCATCGAAGCGTTTTTTTGATAGTGATTTTAATCTCTGTCAGATATCATTATACTTGATCCAACTATGCCGCGACCCCCCTATGCTGGGTTTTTTTATTTGAATATTTACAATCTACAAAAAAAATTGGTACAATAAGTAAACTTGATGTTTAAAAATTATACATATCAACAATGACATGAATAATGATAATGACATGACTCATTAGTCACACCTCTAGCATGTTTTTTGTTTATTTTTAATTTTTTTTTATTTTTTTAGTTACGAATAGTTAGTTTTTAGTTATTTAGAAGATCTCAATTTACAAAATTTTAAGTATGAATTTATCAAAAAAAATATTTTATGATGAAATATTTGAACGATTTGCTGTTCATTAAAATTATTTATTTGAATAATGCTAAATTTAATGATTATTGAAACATAAGTTATGTTGGTAACCAAAGTTTAATGACATATCCAAACCATAATCAGCGTAGAGTAATGAATTATAGAACTAATAAATATAGAAAGAACAAATTAAATAACAATTTTAGAAATAATGTAAATAAGAACTATAACAATAAAAATTATAAAGGAAATTTTTATAGGTTTAACAAAATTAATAGGCACTTTTATCATAATGATCGGCGCGTTAACTATGGTTGTATACGGAAATCACCACATTATCTTCAAAATAATCCTAATTTAGAGAATCCACCCCATCAGTTAGCCATTCAACATTACGTTCCACCTACTATTTCTTACAATTTTGCTCTTCAACCACCATCAGTATGTAACAGCGCGCTCAATTCTAATCAATTAAAAGTGAATAAAATTGACCCACCTTTAATTAACGAAAAAGTCAATATTAATGATATGATAACTAGTTATAAATTAAACAATCAATTTTCGAATTCAATTAAAACTAACGATTCTCCACTAATAATGGGCAAAGTAAATAAAAAAGATATTATTTTCGTGGTTGATACAGGAGAGAGTACAAGCATTATAAATAAGAATTTTTTACCCAGTGATCATATTATTTATCCACTTAATAATGTCACATTAACTACAGCTAACGGATCACATTTGCATGTGGTAGGTAAAACTACTTTAGAGGTAAAGTTTGAAAGAGATATATTTTTGATAGACTTTACCGTAGTCGATAATTTATCTTTAAATAGTTTATTGGGATATGATTTTTTTTAAAAATATAGCGTGACAATCTATACCCGAGAGGTTAAAATTACTTTATTAAAAAACGATGAAAGAGTGAATATAAATTTTGTTTACAATAACAATATCTTGACATTTAATGCAAATATTGATCAAACAAAAAAATTCGACAACTTAAAATCTATCAAACTTATGACTAATTATTTAATAATTCTTGTACAGTTAAGTGTTAGTGAAACTGCCGCGAAAAGCGACATTTTAACACAAGTAGCACCAGACGGTTGGTGTGGAGTATCAACACTCGAAGCAGTCTTAAATAATAAAGGTATAGATATTAATGCTTATGAAATTAAAAAATTATTAGGAATTGATCTGTCTGATTAGCCAATTTATTTAGAAAGTGAAGACAGCAGCCGTCACAAATTATTTTGGTTTAGGCTTAATAATTATATCAGAAAACAATAATATTAATTCTGTATTACACTTTAAAAATCCTAACAAATCGTTTGTAATGGTTTTGTTTTCAAATTGCCATTGGACACCCTTAGTTTACAATCCAAATTCTAAATTAGTTCGCACATTTCGTAGTATTATTCAAATTAATGAATTTAATACTTTAGCCGTTAGAAAAAATATCTTGCAAAATAGAATAATTAAACGTAATTTTACTACCTTTCCAACATCTGAACGAGAAAACAAATTTAAAACACGCAGCGTTAAACAAGACGTAGCAAAAAACATTAACAATGATTCTCACACGAACACGACTCAATTCTCAGAAAACGTAAAAGTAATATTTCTTTATCTCCTATTGTTACAACATCGGAAAACATTCTAGACTGGTATGTTAATCCAGCGTTATCTATTGATCAGCAAAATAAACTTAGAGGTTTATTAATGAAATATAGTACAATTTTTTCTAAACATAAATATGATTTAGGCTCGTGTAAAATTGCTCCGATAGAACTTCAGTTATCAAGTAATAAAATAATAAATTTACCTAATTTTAAGTTAAGCCGCGTAGAGCGTAATGAAATCGTAAAACAGACAGAGGAACTTTTAAAAGCTGGTATTGTAGAGGAATCTTCAAGTCCTTATTCTAATCCTGTGTTTGTAGTCGCTAAAAATCAAGGACAATGCAGCAAAAGTCAAGAGGGATCAAAAAAATACAGAATGGTAATAGACTTTCGAAAACTTAATGAAATAATTTATCGTGTAAGCTTCCCTTTACCAATAATACAAAATTTATATGATTGTTTAGCAGGAAATCAATACTTTAGATCTTTAGATGCTACTTCAGGTTTCCATCAAATAGAACTTTCTGAAAATTCTAAAGCTCTTACAGCTTATTCAACTGAAAATTATCATGTTCAGTTTACTCGTTTACCTTTTGGGTTGTCTAATGCACCCCAATTTTATCAAGCTGCTATGTGTAAAGTCATGGCTGGCTTAAATTATAGACACAATATATGCTATTTAGACGATTGCATTGCATTTGGCAAATCATTTGAGTCTCATTTACATTTACTAGAATTAACATTTCAACGATTTTTAAAGAATAACTTAAAACTAAAACCATCTAAGTGTAGATTTGGCTATCAAGAATTAAAAGTATTAGGCAACATTATTGATACGAAGGGAATAAGACCCACTCAACAGGGATTAGAAACTATACAAAAATTCCCATAACCTAAAACGATTAAACAACTTTGCAGTTTTTTAGGTCTAGCCAATTATTTTATACGTTAGTATAAAATTTAGTAACATCGCAAAACCTTTAACAGATCTAACTAGAAGTAAATTCAATAGCGAACGTTCACTAATCAAGTGGGAAAACACACATAAACGTGCTTTTCTTGAACTGAAAAGTAAATTAATTAGTCAGCCAGTATTAGCTCACTATGATGAAAATACAGAAACTATAATTGTAACTGACGGTTCTAAATTGGGTTTAGGTGCTATCCTCCAGCAGCGTAATCAAAACAATGAAATTCATCCAGTAGCATTCTCATCCAAAAAACTGACTAAAGCCGAAGGCCGATATATCGCAATGGATTTAGAGTTNGACTAAAGCCGAAGGCCGATATAGCGCAATGGATTTAGAGTGTCTAGCAATTTTTCACGCATTAACTGTTTTTCGTCCTTATGTTCATGGAAAGTACTTCGAAATTTGGACTGATCATAAAAACTTAACAAGCTTATTAAATATTAAAACTGATTCACGTATAGTTAATAAACTTAAAGTTAAACTAACAGGTTTTGATTATTCTATAAAATATAAAGAAGGAATTTTTAATAAAGCTGCAGATTGTCTTAGTAGAATAATAGACGAACCACCAAAACTTCTTGAATATACAGAGCTTTCAAAAATACGCGTACATACAATATTACAACATCCCAACGTAAATTTAGTACAACCAATTAATATCTTAGCTTCGGATAATTATTTACAAAATATCATAACTGCAATTAAAAATCCAAATGAAAGCAATACTACATGGCTTAATAAATCAAAAAATTATATTATCAAGGATAACAATGTATTATACTACAAAAATAGTTTTAAAGATTCTTCTAAGTTGGTGCTCGCGTTACCTAGCAAATTTAAAAAAATTGTAATTCACGAAAATCATGATTCGGTGCTAGGTGGACACCAAGGTCTTATTAAAATTTATTTTAAAATAAGGTCACGGTATTATGCCTAAAATGCGTAAAGAAATAAAAACGTATGTTCTTTCATGTTTAGATTGTCAAAAACATTCCTTTTAAAGCCTTTTAAATAACCCAAACCGCCTAAAATAGGAATGTACCCACTAGAAAAAGGGGAAATTATGCAAGATATATATTTGGACTATATTGGGCCACTTAGTAATTCAAAACCTAATAAATATATTTTAGTAGCGACAGACAGATTAAGTAAGTTTTGCATAGCAAAAGCGTACGCAAATGCAAATGCGCGTAGTACAGTTAAATTTCTTTTAGATCTTATATTACGTTTTGGATGTATGCGTATTATAAGAAGCGACAATGGAACACATTTCACAGATAAAACGGTTAAACAACTATTAGAATCATTAAATGTAGACCATAAATTCGGCGTACCCTATCATCCAACTTCTCAGGGCCAAGTTGAGCGTCAAAACCAAACTTTGGTTGATATGATCTCTAATTATGTTAAAGATAATGAAAAATTGTGGTCAGATTATCTACCATATATGGTACTTACAACAGTTCTATTCCTAAAGTTACAGGTTATTCACAATTCTACTTAGTCCATGGAATCGAGCCCAAAAGAGTCTTTGAATTAGCTTTAATACCATCAGAAGATCAAAACATACACTCAGAGATTTCAAAAATCAAGAAAATAAGAAAATTAGGTCCTAAATTGCTTAAACAAGCGTCTGAACAAGTGAAATAAAAGCATCCTTTGTCGAACACCACACAATATAATATTAGTGATAAAGTTTTAGTCAAAAACGAAACATCTAATACTAAATTTTGAGATCGTTACAGTGGACGATATGAAATTATAAAAGCTTATCCACCTTTTAGA